CCTTTTTTTTTTGCAAGTGGAGAAGAGAAAAGGCTGTCGTAAGGTACAAAAAGAAAAGAAGAAAAACGCTGTGGCGTTTGGAAGAATCGTCGCCGCGCGTGCACAGTGGATTATGCGTGATCGTGGAAACGAAGCAGTGAGGTAAAAGTGTTTTTTCGGGGCAAAAGCGGCCCGGCGAGCGAGGGGGCTCCGGGACTCGAGCAACAGGTAATTTAAAAGTCGACTACGCGGGGCACCGCTCTCCTTCGCGTCGGGGTTGCAGTCCCTGCGAAACCGTTCACTGTTGTTAACGTCGAGATGATGCAATTTTACTCACTCGGTGAAAAAAATTCGATTTCTTTTTCCATTTCTTTAGCCAACGCTTGACTCCGCGTATTTACAACTCGCATCAACAACTCGAAATATTTTCGTCTATTTCTATAACGGCGTAAGTAGTGCCAAAAATGCAATCGTGTCAATGCAGCAGCAACGCACTGTACAAAAAAAAAAGAACGATATTCATCGTTCCAAATCGCATAGTTCATTTGTTGGCCGTTAGAGCAATTAGAGGAGATAAAAAATTCCCAAAGCCCGAAACACCCACACGTGCGTGAGTTAATTATTCGCGTTGCTTAAAGGTCGGACGTGAAATGAAAGTATATGGTGGGACGACGTGGGACGAGGATTAAACGGGTCCGCAAGTAGGTTAACTACATCGTAGATAACAGGGCTGGTTACACGGAAGGGTGGTTAAGTCTTTCGTCAGGGGGATGATTTATCGACGTATCGTTGTATATTTTCCCGTCGAGTAAAGGAAAGTGCATTTCGTCGATTAAGGCGTGCTTGCCATTTCTTCAGAGAAAACTCTTAATTTGGCTCGCTTGTATCAAAGCCGGTCATTCACGCCAGTCATTCTTGCTCCTCTCGTTTTTCTTCAGTTCGGCTCGAAAAGATCGACAAAAGGAATTGAGTCGTTGTGAAATGTTATCCACTCTGAGCTTCAGTTCAACGAGGATGTCGCCGATTTTGCAAAAATCGGCGTCCAGAATGAAGAGAATTTAAATCTGTTAATTACTCGCGGGATCGAGTGCCAGCAATATCGAGATAGCTTTCTGAAGGGATTTCTTTGCACTTTCGCAGAGCGCTATCAAATGGAAACTTCATGACACTTGACACTATCAATTGCAAGTACAATCGAGCATTGATACGTGAAACGTTATTCACATCGGCTGTTACAGCGTTCCCTCGTATTTTTAAAATAAGGTCATAGTGTTTTCGTTGCCTACGAACGTCTAGGATAAATCTTATAAATACGCTGAATTTTTATTTATATCACGTCTTACTAATAATAGTTGTGCCCGTGTTATGTGATTAGTGTGATGGAACTGAACGTGACCCGATAGCGTTGGACGTTCTCAAAAATAAATGAACCCTTGCTATGATATTTTATCGGGAACATGGTCGGGTTGTTACATGGGCAAGCAACTTGATGGCTGCTCGATATAGGAAGTTAAATGGTGCGAATGCAACATTGACAGATTGCAAATATTTACTCCCTCGCGGTAGAGATAATTTTAAATAGTTTAAACGGTAATTGAACGCCTTACTTACAATTTTACAGTCCATTTTCACTCGATTCGACTTGTTTTAGCAGAATGCTTTCACGTGATTTCGAGAGCGTAATGATACTTTTATTTGGGGAAGGATTTTAACGTGGTGGGAAAATGTAATATAAATCTACGTGTAAAAATCAGAAAAAAAAAAACTGACATCTACGACAGAAGCTTGTTTATCAGTCTCAAAGTATAAACTTTCTCGTCCAAGTATATATCTCGTCTAACGTTGAAAACAGTTCCCGTTTTATCGCGCAGAGTACATTTTAACTTATATAATTTCAGTGGGAAACGAGTTCGAGCGTTACGTGTTTTCCCTTCTAGGATAATACAAGCTCGATGCCGGAGGCTTCAGGGTCAGACGTGGCCGACGAGTCGGATTATTCGATTTTTGAGAATAAATCCGGCTTGGCCGAGGACATGAAGTTTCTGGCCAGCATGCCGGAACTGTGCGACGTGACCTTCCTCGTCGGTGACACCAAGGAGCCCATCTGCGCTGTAAAGGCGGTTCTAGCAGCCAGAAGTAGGTTCGTATCGCGATCCTAATGCCGTAAATTTAATTTCCCTTCGTTTCCAAAATTCTGATCGTTCTGTTCACCTTCAGGAACAGTGCATAATATTCCTCCAACGATACTCAATACTCAATCTCGCGGATGAAAGTAACGCAGTTTTCGTTTCCGCAGGGTGTTTCAAAAAATGTTTTACCAAGCACCGAGTCCGCAGCGTAAAAAGGACCCGCCGCCAAAAGAGAACAAGATTCGATTATTCCTGAAGAGAAGCTCGGAACCGCTGTTGAATATGCAAAACGCAGCGCAACAGGTAATCGCAGTCGTCGCAGACAGCAATAAAGTCGATATATACGTCATAGTATCGTTTTTCTAACCTCGTGTGTCTAACGATACGATCGAAAAAGATGGCAATAAACAGGGAAGTAAGCTGAAATCAAAATCGCGCCGTTTCGCGTGAATTTTTTTTTAATACACGTTTGTTGTTACGCGAACGCGGGTGAAAACATTTCTTTGCGAAATTAATGCTTTGTCCCCATCCGATTTCGCAACTCCAATTTACTAATCGATTTCTAGACTACTTTCATTTTCGAAGAAGCTTTCGGTCTGAAATTAAAAACTGTTAATCGGTGAAAGCGAGGACGATACTTTAAAGAACAGTTGCGCGTACCATGCTCGAACCTAGTCGTTGAAATGATGGAAATAGTAAGTGTGCGTTTGTTGTGTGCCGTGTAGCGGTCAGGGTTTGTGCAGCAGTTGGCTCCAATACAAGAGGTATTATCATACAACGTCACTTCTTTATACGATTTTGCATTCTGAAAATTCTCCACTCTTACGTTTCTCCCTCTCCCTTTTTTCTCTTTCACTTTGCGCTCGTGTTTCGAGTTTCGTTCTGTTTCTCTTTATTTTGAAGCACTTCGATAGAGAGAGAGAGAGAAGGATCCCGGATAACGATGAATCCTCGAAATTCGTAAAATGTTTCAAGGAAAGAAAAATTTCTTTCCCTCGAACGAATTAGACGCATTTCTATTCCTCGTGTATGTGCGTGTGTGTATATGTTAGATTTGAAGCGTATCTTTAGCTAGCAAATTAATCTACACGATTGCATCTCGAAAATTTATTATTATTCGACTTTGTTTCTTGATTTTACAACACTGTAGACTTTTAACTCTACTTTTTCAGTAATCACTGCAGATCTTCACGATACTGATATCATTTTTCTCTATTACCGAAAGATATAAAGATATACTTGGCAAGCATATAAAATTACTTTGAATGCATCGCTGGCGAAAATATCCTGCAGAATCTACCGTTTCAATATTTCTGAATTTTATTTACAAGAAAGCCTTGCTGATCAATCTCAGATCATCCTGATTTTATTTACGAGCAATTATTGGTACGCATCCCCGCGCGATTCAGTTGGCATAGTTTTTAACGAGGCATTCATCGTTCCAGTCTGTCTGTCTCTCTCTCTCTTTCAGTGGGCATGCAAGTTTTGAATTGATCACGCGCTCCGCAGAATCGTAAATACAGACTGTCGCGTCGTTCTCGCATCGGCAAATTTGCAATAGCCGTAGACTCGCACGACTGCAACCATAATCCTCTGTTATTCGAGGATGGCACGTAGCCGCGAAATTAACGAGACGCACAGTAGCCTGCACTAATGCGAGTACTCTCTCTCGCCACACCGAGTACGTTCTTGTACAATTCTCGTCATCGATCACCGAGCAAGCGAACAATGATGGACGATCTTTTGACACTCTCTCACTCTCTCTTTGTAATTTTTTTTTTTTTTTTTTGAAAACTTGCGATTAACAAGTTTACATTGGTCGACAGGTTTTTCCTAGATATTAGACTATATAGAATAACGATAGATTTCCTTCCTTTAAAATGAGGAAAATTTGATAGTTTCCCTCTTCCCCCCCCCTTGAGATTCAAGATCTTCTCTGTCCATCGCCGAATGCACCAGAAAAGAAATCGCTTGGCATGAAATTTTCAATTTTCGATTTTCAAATTTTCAAACTTTGTCTTCTGTCTCTTCTACTTTGTCGTAAATTCTTTTTTGTCTTTTTTTTTTTTCCTCTCTAAATCGCAGCCGAATCAACATCACACCGTGATCATCGAGGAGTTCGAGCCCGACGTGTTTCGTCAGTTGATCGAGTACATTCACACTGGATGCGTGACGTTACAGCCTAGAACATTACTGGGTAGGTGTTTTTCATTTGACAACGCAAGTTGTATATTGGCGGTAGACGAATTTTCGTGCAAAGTAACACACCGTTTCACCTTTCAAGGATTGATGAACGCCGCTGATTATTACGGGCTGGAACAGCTGAGGAAAGCTTGCACCGGGTTCGTACAGTGTTGCATAACAGTGGACACTGTGTGTGCATTATTGGCGTCGGCCGAGCGATATATCCAGTACAAATGTACAAAATCCTTGGTCCACAAGGTGAGGTGGCAGAAATTTTCCCTCCATTTCCCTCCCCCCGTTTTTTCACCGAGTGTCCTTTCGATTCGAAGGTATTCGAATTCGTCGACGAACACGGCAACGAGGTGTTGAATCTAGGATCCTTCACCCTGCTCCCTCAGCACGTTGTTCGTTTGATTCTGGCGAGAGAAGAGCTACGTGCCGACGAGTTCACCAAGTTTCAAGTACGTTCGACCGTTCCCGAAACCGTTCGGAACCGAAAGATGGATGGAATCTTGTCGAGATTGAAGTTTATCGAACTTTGAATTGCTTCAGGCAGCCCTGATGTGGAGCAAGAAGTACTGCGACAGCAACCAAAATCAAGACCTGAAGGAAGTGATTGGCAATTTCCTCGAGTACATACAGTTCCACAAGATCCCTGCCAACGTGTTGATGAGAGAGGTTCATCCCCTTGGCTTGGTGCCATCGAGCATCATAGTAAACGCGTTGGCCTATCAGGTGCGTGTTACTTCAGAAACAACAACGAGATACTACGTACTAACGCTTCTTTCGCTTTCTTCCGTTCGTTTTCATTATCTATCTTATATATCGAGCTTTCTTCTGTCGTGTGTTTCTTCCGTTCAATCGAGAAGGAAGTCAGAGCCAAGTCGAGTATTTGGATTTTTCATCTCTTTTTTTTCTGTTTTTTTTTTTTTTTTTTTTTTTTTTGTCGAAATTACAAAAATGTTCCAAAGCTATTCTCTGCCTTTCGGTCATCCTGGCTCGTTCACTTGGACACGTTCGCAGACGCAGGAAACTCGAAACGCGCGGAAAACGAGTTTGTCTCTAATTGTAAACGTTACGAAGCAGCCTGATCGAGATTGAACACTGTTGCAAGCAGCACGCTTAGTGCAGCTCCCCAGGATCGTTGTTTGCGAATTTCTAGCGAAATGAAAGCTAAAACGTACTTTCTTCACACGAAGGTAACCGTAGTGTGCTCAGTTCTACGTTGCTCACGCTTCTCACGTCCTGAGAAATATACGAGGAAATTAGAAAGAGAATTCAAGTATGAATATGTATTTTATGGTTCTTCTCGCCCCCTTTGACACACGTATTTTACACCCGTTTCTGACTGTTGTTTTGTATTATCGAAGCATGCAGAAGGTGGGACTATCTCGAATGGAAAGATTCGATCTCGTTTGCAAATTTCGCCGACAGTTGTACAATATTCGACGCGTGCACACGGTGTACTTTCTTCCAAGGTCCGAAGGTTTCCTTTGAATTTCATTAAAAGAAAAAAAAAGAAAAAAAAAAAAGAAAGAAAAAGTGACTCTTACTTTTGTAATATTCCACAATCTTACTCAAAGTACTTTAATTTCTACACTAAACGTCGATAGTGAATGGTACATCTCTCCCTGAGACCTTCACACGTATATTTCTAATTTATCATGTAACAATATATAACGACACATTTTGCGTCAATGTACATGTTACACTGTTCAGAATAATTGAAAGATCATACGATTGACTTGAAAGATACAGGATAGCCTAGTGTTTAATGTTACGTAAAATTTCACAGACGTTCATGGTTACTCATTATTGTAATATTTTTGATTATTCTAGAAAGTTTCCTGTTAATTATTCTGGAAAGTGTAAGTCTGCTCAATACTTAATTATTTCGACGTATAAGATGTTCAAATGCCCGATCGAATCATCCTTCAGTCACTGATACTGTATATGTGCAACCAGTTTCACATCTTACACCTGTGTGTACAAAAGAAACCGCCGTTTCCCAAGAACATTTTTTTGGCTGCTACATATTCGTATGCACACGTAGTATTTATTCTAATGGCAATTGTCGTTTCCTTTCCGAACAGAACACTCTGAATCCCGAACCAACCGTCTGAAACGAACGCGCACCATTTGCTGTCCCGTATCGATTGTACTTTATACTTTGTCGTACACTCTGTTCAGCATTGAATATTTTGATGGAACTCTGCAGTAAAAAGAACTTTGTTTGTCGTCGCATATCTTTCGTGTGTAAAATATTCGATCGATCTCTCAGTCGAGCAAATATAAATTTAGATAAATGATGTCTGCGCACTCGCACACGTGCCCCTACGACAATCAACTCTCATTTACTCCTTCATTGTATCCTTCCTCACGCGCTTCACCACACGACTTATTTATGTATCTTAACTCTTTCGGTTTCGTAGAACGACTCTGTCATGAGCTGAGCCTACGTATCGTCGAGTTTGAAGGGGAAATTTCGAGAATTCGAGAATCGGGCAAGTTGTCGCTCGACGATTCGTTCGTCGAGAAAGGAGACAGACAGAGACAGAGACAGAGAAAGAGAGAAAGAATGAGAGAGAGAGAGAGGGGGGGGGGAGTTCTCTCGACTCGAAAGGGTTAAAAAATCTAAAACACCGAGCCACTCCGTAGAGCCAGCCAATCCTGCATATCGTTTACAGCCTGCAGCCGAGGGAGAGGATACGTGGCCGGAAGTGGCTTAACCGAAGAATTTGTTGCAGGCAGACCCGACCAGTGTCGACCCCGGAAAGTTGTCTCCCCACAGAGTGAAGCACCAGGACCGTAGTCTGTCGGTGCAGTCCTCTCTGCAGGACCAGTACGGCAGCAACACGTCGTTGAGCTCGACCGGGTCTGACGAGGGGTCCGACGAGAAGCAGCATTCAGGTAGCAACTAACCTCCGGCCGCGGCCGCATTGATCGCGGCCGTATCGGACGAGCCTCGACGCGAGCGAATCCCTATTGACCACGCGGTTAATTCGCACCCGCTTGAAGGTAAATACGGCATAGCTGAGCAGGAGATAAGGGAGCGCGAACAATGGCCGAAGCACCGCCACTCCGAAGAGGAGGATATACAGCGGCTGATCGAGCAACGGAGCCAGTATCAGTCGATGAGGCAGGAGGACTCGTTGCAACAGCAGCAAGACGAGCAGCTGATCAGGAAGCAGGAGGAGGAGCTCAGGAGGCAGGAGCTGCAGGAAGAGTTCGAGAGGAGGCAGAAGGAGCTGCTGAGGAAGAAACAGCAGGAGGAGTTGAGGAGGAAGAAGGAAGAGGAAGAGTCGTCGAGGAAACAGAAGGAAGCGGAGGACGCCGCGAGAAGGCAGAAGGAGCAAGAGATCGATCGACAGAGGCTGGACGAAGAGAAGCGGAAAGAGGAAGGCGAACGACCTTTGGAGCGACGAGAAACGCAGATGGAAACGCAGAACGAAGAGGACAAAGAGCCGGCAGAGTCGATTCCTTCTTCGAAAGGACAGGAAGAAAAGTCGCAGCAGCCGCTGGAAGAAGAGAAACGAACAGAACAAAAAGAAGAAGAAGAAGAAGAGAAGCAGAAGTCGGAAACGGCGGAGTTGAAACGGCGGAAGGAGGAGGAACAACGAAGGATTCGCGAGAAGAGAAAGTTGCAGCTGCCGCTGGAAGAGCTGAAGAGCGAATGGGCGTTGCGGCAGGATCTGCTGTTGCAAAAGCAGGAAGAATCGCTGGAACGACAGATCGAGGAAATGAACCGCGAAGAGCAGTGGGAGAGCAGTCGGCAATTCCAGCAAACGCAGGTGTACCTGGAGGGTCGGAAACCCTCGGACGAGACGGAGAAGAGGTCGGAGGAAGGCAAGCAACGACAGACAACCGAACGAAAGAAAGTGAAACAGAGGAGGAGGGAAGAAAGGGTGGAGATCAGGGTACACGGGGCGGAATCGCCTAAACAGGAACAGCAGTCTGCAGATGGCGTGACTGGTTTCTACATAAAGTTAGTGGTGAGGCAGGAAGGCAGGCCGAATTTAGTTTGGCTGTTCAAAACTCACATATTCTGAACAGATTCTCTCGTTTCTCTCTACCTCTTCGAGTACAACAATCATCGAGTTGAATCTTTCGACGGAGAAGAATCACGATTATTTGTTTGTCGCGTTTGAATCGCCTCGCGGCAGATTTCCGTATAGCAGAAATTGCAAGGAGTA